ATGACAGAAGAGGTTTCCTGGCACAAGATTATAGCAGTTTCTGGTTTTCTGTTTGTCTCTGAGGATCTGTCATAAGGGAGCAGCATGTGCCATTTATAAAGATAAGATGATAAGTGAATTAAGTTTGGTTACTTACCTATTCCAAAAGCTAAGTGAAGACATGTGAACTTAAGAAAAGTATATTTCTGAGAGAATACAAGATTGAGCAATCTAGCATTGCGTTATTAATACCCTTAACACCGCAGTCTTTGGACTTCATGGATTTTAGTCTGCATTAATACTCTAGTAATCGAGTTGCTTTTCCCCACCCTTGAATTTGAGGTGTAAGATAATAAATCCCCTTCCTTTGGTAGATGTCTTGGTAAGCACATACAGAAGTTGAGTGGAGTACTAAACACTGCCATGGTATGTTATACTCAGCCACTATCTGTTATGAAAATATTCCACTAATATTCACTTTACAGTTTCAGTATTTATTTGGTCTGTGCCTAAGAGGTCTTACTCCAGTTTTATCTCAGAAATTGAAAGTCTTAACTGTTACAGCCAATGGCATCAGTTTATAAAGTGATGATTTTAAAGAAATCTAATGTAGTGGAACGTGCTCATTAGATAGTTAAGTAAAGGATGCTATAAGGATTTTGAGGGAGAACAACTTCTATGTTTCAGAATTTGTGTGAATAGCTTTTTTAAGGTAATTTGTACTGCTAGATAACATTCTTTTGAAAAAATCTGATTCCCATACTCTGTTTTGGGTATTGTATGGTTTGTTTGTATGATTTAACTAGAAGAAATTGAACATGAAATTATTATGCTTTGGAGCTGTCGGTATAGCTTTTCATCCACTTATATTGTTTTGAAGAAATACTAATGTTATTTTAGCTACTACTACTTTGTACTTCTGAGAATTAATATGGTTTCTGTTGTCATTCAACAAATACATTATACGTGCATTTACGTCATCTCTGCACATTTGTTTCAGTGCAATGCGTGTATTGTTGTCCAAGTTACCACGACCATGGATTGTTGACGAGAAAAAAGATGATGGTTACACAGCCTTGCACCTGGCAGCTCTCAATAATCATGTGGAAGTGGCTGAACTTTTGGTGCATCAGGTAGGACTCTTTTTCTCAGCAAGATTTGAATGTCACACTTCAGTTAACCATCTGATGTGAAAATAGTTTGCTTCTTTACACCTGCAATCGCAACGCAGAAGCAATGGAGCAAGGAAGGACACGTGGTGAGCTCTAAAGGTCAAACTTGCCTTTGAGATCATTACAACGGCCTAATGGTGCAGAGGGCCTGAAAAATTTGACACCTAGTTTGACTCAATGGATCAACAAACATCTGTACAGTGAATAATTAAAGTATTTAATAACTTCTGCTCTCAAATCTCCAAACTAGGAATCATATTCAGGGCCGTATTCAGTGCCCTAATGGACTGCCTTGCTGGTAGATGGACCGCTGGGATGATAATGCTTTAATGCTTTGAATGTCTTCCAGGGCAATGCTAACCTGGATATTCAGAATGTTAACCAGCAAACTGCTCTGCACCTTGCCGTTGAACGACAGCATACACAAATTGTTAGGGTAAGTATCTTATTTGCAATAAGCCGTATGGTTAGTGGTACTTGACTCAAGCTGATTGTAGCTGTTAAGACATGAGTACTTCATGAACATTTAAAAAATGATTTAATAATATGTAGCTATTGAGTGTTTGTATGATTAATTTTGATCAATTCAGAAACCTGCCAATTTGCTCAGCAGGTCAGTTGGCAATATGAACGACATTTCAGGAATGCTAAATTTTTGTACATGTACATTATGGTTTCCTCTATGCGGTTGCCAATTCCAGCATCCCTCCTTGTTAAGTAAAGGAGAATGTGTTCCTCTGTTACTTGTCTGAGTCTTGCGGTCCTGTAATGGGACCTTCAAATAGCATTTTTGATGCCTCTTGCTGTATGAGTAATTATTCTTGTTCATAGCTTTTGCAAATTTTAGCTAAGTGAAACATCTTTTTACAAGTCTAACTACTTTTCAGTCTTCTGAGTGTGTAGCTTTCCCTATTCTTAGCTTGGGAGGGCTATAAGCAGTAATAAAAGTACCTTACCAGTGAAAGTAATGCTATTTCTGGGGTTTTGTTTTTTTTTTTCCTCCACAGTTGCAAAAGTTAATACTTCAACTTAGCAAAACTTTGTTACTAGCACAGGAAACAGGAGCCTGGCACAGCTTGCCCATTCTGGCCTGTGTGCACTGTCCATAGGGGACCTATGTGACTTAGTGTTTGGATTGCTAGCGTGGGCTGTTGAGGCTCAGAGAGAGCACTCACTGCTGTAGATGTTCCCTATGAGTGAATACATCAACCTGGCCTTGGCCCTCTGTGTAAATTTTTTTAATTTGTCTTTGTAGAGTGAGAGTAATGTTATATTAAAAACTGTCTCTTACTCAGGCCTACAGAGAATTGTCCTGCCCGTGCAGATGTGTATCTGCGGTTCCGTTTAATGTTACTTTGCTGTAAGGTTTCTCCATCTCCAAGGGTTGATGGATGTGATCCCATTACAGTGAAACATGTGATATGGCCCTATATCTGGAACTGCTTGCTACCAAAAGAATGGTTTCCTAGTCAGTGTCACTTGCATCCTGCAAGCTATTCGGCAGCTATATTTGGTGAGCTCTTGTGCCCTTCTGGAACTGACACAGTACCTGGGAATACAATACTACTGTAGCAGATGAGCAGGAAGGTAGGCATGTAGAACTAATACGTGTATTGGACTGATGTGCTTCTATCTGAGAACGTTTAAGTGAATGACCCTGTGGAGTATCCATACTTCAGAGTTGGATTAAGTTTGAGAAGTCCTGAAATAACTCATGCAGCCATGCAAAGAATATGCTGGCTCTGTATTTCAAAATTAATTCCTATTGGGTACCTTCCAAGGCTGGGTTGTACCCTCAGGCATCTGTGGAATAGTGGTCAAAGGTAACAGGGTTCTTTTAAAAGCCCTGCTGCCATGACAAAGGGTGGTGGTTTGCTTTTTTTTTAAATTTTGCTTTTTTCTTTAACTTCTTCAAAGGCTTTGAATTTCCATGCTAGCCAAGGATTCCAGGTTGCTCTGAAAAGAGTTCTCTTACAGATTTTCTTCCAGGAGAAACTCTTAAGCAGTAAATAGCTAGTGGCAGACAGAAGATATGAATATGAGAAAGAAAAATTGAGCCAGAGTAAGTCCATTTAGAGAGTGTAAGAAGTTGGGGGGAGACTGTTGCAACTATTGTCTGGTTTTCGTGGTTTCACTTGTGGAAGAAAAGGTTGGGGAAAATTGTAAGCTGCAGTCAATTACAGGCAGGTATTTCCTTGAAAATTAAGTTCTGAATTCCTTTTAAGCTATTTTCCTTTTAACCTTTTCTAGAGTCTGAGATTCTTTGGTTCCAAGAGACTGAGATCCTTGTAAGCATGCAGGTTCTGAAGAGGGGAGATCCTGCTTGATGTATTCCTGTTTCTAGGCTATGCCTTTTGTCTCTGCTGCTGATCCCGAATTTTGCAGAGTAGCAAAAGCTCAAAACTAAAGTTAAAACCTCAGCTATCTACATGTTTCTGGATAATGACAGGGTTTAATTTTTAGGGTCAATTGTTATTTGTCAGCATGTGTTGATTTGTTTTGTTTAACAGCATATTTAAGAAAGTTCTGGTGCGTTGAATTATGGGAGGGCTGTATGCAAAGGCAATATGAATAGGAGGGCCTGTGCAGCCTTATGCTTGCTTTCATGTCATGTGACCTGGAACGTGTGTCTAAAATTAGCCTTAAATATGAATCTTACAGTTCATTACTTTCCAAAGTGTTCTGAGATAGTATTTAATAGTGTCGGTGGTTTCTATGACTTCTGCTGAGTAAGGATAAACCTAAGTACATGCTTAACTACTTTGCTAATGGGAGGATACTGTAAATTAAGTTGTAAAGTTTAGCATGGTGTGAAAGTGCTGATTTTTGAGGTCATTGAAACCTAATAGTAAAGAATATATATATCTCTCTAAAGTATTTTCCACTTGTTCTGTTTCTGATATATTGCTGTAATATGTTACATTGTTTGTAGGCTGTCTTGTTAAGAATTAAAGGTTTTGGACAGTAGAAAGAATCCTCTAAAATAGCATCTCTTGTAGCGCTCCCTCAGAGCACAGGCAAGCATTAGGCTTCTGCTGAAATAAGCTCGATATTTGGAAGAGATAAATGCTTCAGTTGAGAGCTGAGCTCCAAGTATGGAAAATAAATTTAAATAAACTCAACTGTGAATTTTAGCAAGATAAAAGAATAACCCTTTTAGACCTCCTAGAGCATTCTAAACCATAGTTTCACTGAAATTAGTGTTAAAAGGAATAAATAGCTTTTTTTGAGTTTTAAATTGGTTTCTCTCGTTTCAGCTCTTAGTCCGTGCAGGTGCTAAGCTGGATATTCAGGATAAAGATGGGGATACTCCCCTGCATGAAGCCCTGAGACACCACACCCTGTCACAGCTCCGCCAACTCCAAGACATGCAAGATGTGGGCAAGGTAGATACTGCTTGGGAGCCATCAAAGAACACAGTAAATAAAATGCATTTATTTATTCCTTTTTTTCCCTGCACATTTGTCTCTTTATTTGTCTAGTTTATCTAGTTCTGTACTGTTGAACTGTTTTTTGGCAGCATAAGTTTACGTAGACATTCTGCATTAGACTGCAGTGTAGGCAGAAATCATATTGTTATATGTGGCTTTTCACATGTAGTCATTGTCTTTGTTAAAGAAAAATATGGGTTATTTAGTTCAAAATATTTCTACAAATCTGTCTTCCATAGCGAACATATATGGCTGCCAAAAAATGAAAAGCAGCTTTTTAGGAAAGAGAAATAAACAGTATTACAGTACAGAATAAGACTAAAATTAGGTTTTCTGTGATTCAACATCTTGCATGTCTTTGTAGCTTTAATTGTTTAGCTGCCTCTATAACCTTCTGAAAGTCTATTCTGTTAGAACAAGGCATTCTTAATCTTTGTATGTTCATTGTTATGTCTCTTTCTGACAGAGTTCAATTCAGAAATTGTGCTGTAGTAAGGAAATAGTCAAAGAAACTCCAGGTAATAAAGGTCAAAATGTTTTATTGAAGAAAGAAACACTCACACCCAAAAAGCTGTGAGAACACTGCATGCAAAAATGTTTATAGTTTTGCTGATAGGCAAAGGAGAAACTCCCATTTGGAGTGATTGGGATTGAGAAAAACAAACATCAATTTTGTCTTTAAATATTAAAGACTCATAACCTGGCACTAGATCAAATTTGCTGAATCATTAGTTACTAGTGTCATAATATTTTTTTCTAATTTTAACTGTGGGTGGTAAGTTTTTTGCATTTCATTCAAAAAAAACCCCCATGAACTTTATTAAAAAGCCTTTGTTCAAAACAGTAATTCCACTGTACAACAAATGTTTTTCAGACTGGTTACTTAATCTCACTGAAATACACTGGAATAAGCTTTGAAAAGAGATTTAAAATATGACTGGCATATGTAAGAAAATGCTTGTGTCCTTTTAAGTGAGAGGAGGAAAGCAATTACAGCTCAGTTGTTTCCATGATCTGAAATGGACTCTGTGAGAAGTGGCCAAAATACTTTGTGTGCATGTATTTAAGTGTGAAACGAATGAACAGGAGATAAATACTTTTTCTCTGATTCAGCATTTCATAAATAGGTTCCTCTGTTGCCCATCTTATTAGTGGTGTCCACAATGAAACTAGAGTTAGGGTTTTTTTGAGGTTTTTATCACAAGAAGTGGTTTTTTTTTCTACCGCCTTTTTAAATTTTAGTTTGGGGGGATTTTATGTTTCAAAGAACAAGTTTCTCTTCTAGTTTCATTTGAGATGTATCCTTGGTTTAAAAAAAAAATTACACTTTTGGTTTATTTCTATTAAAATAATAATTTTAAAAAAGGGCAGGGGAAAGACACCACAGCAAACAAACAAACAAAAAAAATCCCTGTGTGAGTGTATCTCTGATCACCTAAAAATGTTCTAATGTTTAAAAAAAATCACAGCCAACCAATACCTTCTATATTAGCTTGATCAAACTATTGGTAATTTTTTTGCACGTTGTTTAACTGCAGAGAAGTTCTTTGCCTAACTAATGAATTTGGGAGGTTTAAGTGGTGTGGAGAAGATATGTGCCCCCAGAGAAGAGGTGAAAACTTGCTTATTTTAATTTTACATGGTAGCAACATAAGACGTGGCTGAAATGTAAAAGATGGAGTAAAGCCTGACTAAAATATACCTGAAACCTCTTTAAGATGATCAGCAGATCAAACTGTCTTGAAAATGTTGGTTTGTAGAAAACAGAACGTGAGAACAATACTTGTACCTATCTACCTTTATTTACATAAAGGTAATGTAAAAATGCTATGAACTAGAGTTTACCAGTAAACAGTTTTACTAGTAAGTCACCTTTGGCCCAAAATTGTATATCAGAAAAAGACAGGATCTAGGCTGCTAAAATATGTGTAGGCATCGGACCTTTAAAGCTATCCAAGGACACATTTGTAATTTGTCTTGTGTAGAATTGCAAATACGGTGATGGATAATAGAGGATAAATAGGATTAGTAATTTAGTCTGGGAAACAGAAAGGCTTTCTTTTTGTGGATATGATGACTGAAGTTAAATTGATGGAATCTGTATTTTTTTGATTAATTTTTATTAATTCCTTTAAAGATGGGAAAAACATGTCAGATTCCTTTAGTCTATGTGATAGCAAATCTGATACTTAAATATTTAGTATTTTAGAGCTCATTTTTGCTTGGCTAAATTTTAATTAACTTTGGACTACTGTCCTGAAGATACCAAACTACTGAGCCCCGTAGGGTGCCTCTTTGTAGTATAGTACTTCAACAAATAATGATTTTTTTTTCAGTTAAATAATCTGAAAAATAACAAAAATTTCACTTGCAGGTTTTTAGATGTTTCTCATATTTGATAAAGTTGGTCGGACAGCAACTTTATTGAAATTTTACTATTTGTTACTTTTTCCTTTGAGCATGGTTTAAAATATGAAACAAACTTTTTACTGATATCGTGAACTTATTTCATAAGTGGAATTATATGGAATAAGTTCATTAGCATTGAGTTTTAGTAGTTCCTTCTGAATGTCAACATTAAGCTGTTGTAATAACTAAAACAATTTTTGTCAGGTTTCTTCAGCTGTTTTTTGGGTATCAATCTGAAAAACACTTCTGTGTTCAAGTGCTATGGAGCGGTGAACCCCATCTCTTTAAATAATGTTGAAGTTTTTCATCCAGCACATTGTGATGATTGTACAGCTGGGAGGAGGAGAAATTTTCTGAAGTACAGTCCCGACCACCACAAAAAAAGTCATTTCAGTTGCTTTATTACAGATGCAGTGTTCCTTGGTATAGGGTACTTTTTATTCTAAATAAATGTATTATTCCCCAGGCTCATTTAGTGTAATTTATTTTAATATAGGTATCTTTCAGACCCTTAAAACGCTTTTAAGATTCAAAATGATGCCGCTGCCTAAATCCTAACTTAAACTAAAGAAACTCTAATAGAAGTCAGTTAGGTGTTTACAGCTTCAAAGATAGCTCAGTAGTTACAATTACTTAGATGATATTTATACTGTTTGTGTGGATTACACCGAGTCTTCTCCCTCGCAGGTGAATTGGCTGGGACTGGCTTGTGTTGAGGTATCTCAGGGCCAGAACCCTCCAGAGGAGGCTTGCTGCAGCTGTACTAGGCACTAGGGCATAGTGTTTATTTTTGTGCATGGATTGGGGTTTGGTGTGGTGTTTTTTTTTTTTCCATTCTGTGTGCCTGAAATGTTGTAGACTACCAGGGAAGTGTCTTCGGATGCAATATTGTCTTGGTGTTTCTAAAGCATACAGCACACAGAGGCATTTTAGGACTCAGGATTTTCTTGAATAATGTTGATGACTGTTCCAGGTGGAGGAGCCAGGCTTGGCGTAGTGTATATCCACACCGAGTGAAGCAAACTATCCTGTTAGCTCCTCTTGGAGACACAATAGCTGTTTCGTTCAGGAACAGCTCAGAGCCCATGAGGTGCAAGTGTGGATGGTAAGAGAACTCTTGTCCCAGCAAGTAAGAAAAGACTACAGCAAACTGTTCGGTGTAGGTACGCCTTCAAAAAGTCTACTCTGCCAACCTTGGAGCAAATCAGCTTTCACTGGGCATCGTGCTACCTTGGCTGGATTACTGACATGGTCCAAGGTAGTTAGACTGAAGCTAGATAAAATGTCTGCTTCACTTCAGCCAATGCTGTAATTGATGTGCAGAAAAACGGTCTGAATTTATAAACAAAAATGTTCGTGATCTGAACACCACAAAACAGTTTCTCTCCATAACTTACTGGTTTTCCTGGTATGAAGTCTTTCAAGCTGTACTGTTCTTACCTGATCATAGGGAAGAATGCAGGACCGTGGGTATCTGAATTCATGAAGTGACCTCCAAGAGTCTCGTAGCACCTCAGTAATACTTACTGATATAAGAACTCCTAACTACAAGAAAACGTATAGACTGGGGTGCAAAAAAAATTGCTTCCCTAGGAAACTGGGTGACTGTATGATGAGAAGGATAATCTTGCAGTTATCAAGGCAGGGTAAAGACTTCTAATTACATACTTCACGTGCTGCAAGATATGGACCCAAACCAAGCCTTTTTCTTCACAAGTCACCTCTGAGGGATGGGGGAGATAACTAGAGGGATTTTGAAAACGGTTTTCTTCGTAATTCAGACTTCAAGATATGCAACCTTTAGGGCTACAGTGACAGGTATCTGGTATTTTAAATTTATTCCTGTATTCTGTTGTGTCTAAAATAGCACACCTAGTTCTTTAAATACAAAATGGGTGTTAATTCAGCCAGACTTACTTAATTTTTAGGGGTGATACTTGACACCCAGCTTTTAGAAAACCAGCTGCTGGGATAGATTGTACGAACTGAAAGTGGCATAGAAAGATGTACATCAATCAAGTTGGGCACTTAAAGCAATTAATGGGAAAGAGGTGCATACAAAATCCTGCCTCCATCCTAGTGTCAAAGCCTTTATAATTCTGGAAGTCAGCACTTAAAACTCCTTGAATTGGAGCTGTCCCAGCTGTGCCAAAGCTGTTGCTTTGAATATAGTCCAGTGCAGTTTGCTGAGAGATTCTTAGTGGTGCCAGCAGTTTCATGTTATGTGTAGTCTGCAATTTATCTGATCAAGCATTAATACAAAAGATGTTGGAGCAGGCCCAGAATGCTCCAGAGTAGGTGAATCCTCTCCTTGCTGGGCTAAGGTAGTGAGCCTTCTCTCTTTATTTTTCTAGCTGGCCCTGTGAATCATGCCTAATAGGTACGCTAATACAGTAATAGTTGTAAAAGGGTGAAGGAGCATTACATGATTAGGACAGGAGGACAGGAGGACAGGTATGTGAGTTTAAATCCCTCCAGGCTGAGAAGGCAACTGAAATCAAGTCTTTTCTGGGCAGGTGCTTTACTCACTAGACTACAAGTAAGTTTGCATTCACTTTGTTGCCCAACTATGTTTTCAGTCCAAGTGTGATGGTGGTAGCATTTTGTCTGAACTCAGCAATTTCGGTATACTTCAAGTGTATTCTGAATATACCCGCTGGGACTTTGCCCTTTACAGTGCTTATGTAGAAGGACAGCCACTTCAAGTGAGTATAGGTGTGCAGGAGATTGAATGCTTCAATAGCTGAGCTATTCCTTGCTGAATTTTAGTTCCTTAAAGGAAAGTTGAGTATAGTTGACTCAAAATTAAGCAACCATACAATTGTTTTGATTTTAATTCTAGAGACGCTTCCTTGGGCTTACAGATTTATGTGTGTGTGTGTGTGTATGTGCATGTGCGCATGTCAAGTAGTTTTCCTTTAGCCAGACTATTCCTAACTGTTTAGAGAGTGTCTCTATCTGTTTTCTTTCAGTTAATAATGGGACTTGGCACTCAGGGAGCAGAGAAGAAGAGTGCAGCATCTATTGCCTGCTTCCTGGCAGCCAACGGAGCTGACCTCAGTATTCGTAATAAGAAGGGTCAGTCTCCTCTCGACCTCTGCCCTGATCCTAGTCTCTGCAAAGCATTGGCTAAATGTCACAAAGAAAAAGTCAGGTTTGTATAGTCATAAAATATACTATTTCCAAATTTCTGCTTTCTATAGATTAACTGATGTATTTAAAACATTGTGCCTTTATTAGCAATAGTGTTAAAACATACAAGATTTTTCTTGACTTTCAATTAATTCTTTATATTCTATGATACATTGAATGCTATTTACAAATACACTAGTTGAAACTTCCACAAGTCTTACAGGACTTTCATACATGTTAATATGGGAGGGAGGAGAATGGGAAGAGGCAGTGTGCAGGTCGAGATTGGTAGAACGTCAAACCATCCCAGAAAAGGGGTGGGGGGGAAATCACTGGAAGAATAATTAAGCATTGGGACAGGTTACCCAGGGAGGTTGTGAAATCTCTGTCCGTGCAAGTTTTGAAGACTGGAATGGGCAAAGCCCGGTATAACCTGATGTGAATTCAGTGTTGATCCTGCTTTGAGCGGGTGACCTCCTGAGTACCTGTCAACCTGAATGGTGGTATGATTCTGTAAAAGGAGAAGGTAGGTCTGATGTCTCAGAAGCACTTCTCTAGGAATTATGATTTCAGTGAAATGTCATGTTATCAAATGCCCGCAGTATGAGAAGTTTCAGCTTGCTACTTGTCCTAGTTGTGTTCCCACTGTTGGCTTACATGATTCTCATCCTTAATTCCTGTATGGAAATCAAAAATGTAATTTCAAAATGTCACGAAGAGAGACTGGTTTTGTTGATGCTGCCCTGGTGTGTAAGGTGCTTACTTTCTTCAGAGTCTGTCTGTCTGTGTCTGTCTCGGCCTCATCCCTGTGGCTGTTCTTTCTCACCACCTTTTATGGGCTTGTGAGGGCTGTAGGAATGAGCTGGTTAGGTTCAGCACGCGCTCCCTCTGCTGGGTGAGCAGCAGCATAGGACAAAGATCTGAGGTGAATTCACTGCGGGAGTTTGGGGGTTCTTTTACAAGTCTGTCATTTGCTAAGTATTGAAGTATATTCAAGATTAAGGTGTTAAGCTGTGCAGTTCTGAATCTAAAGGGTATGTCTCTATTAATAAAGTAAACTCTTGGGACGGGAGGGAAGGGTTTTTCATATTCATGAGATGCTGTTCTAACTTGTGTGGCCTGTTTCTGTACAATGTCTTAATCTGAGCATGCGACGTTGCACTTTGGTGTCAACAGTATGTTTGGGAAAATGCAGTTTGGATTGCTTTATCGTGATACACTGATGCCTGAATGCATAGGACTATATAGATAAGCAGCCAATTCATGTGCATTTTAAATTAAGAATTTTAAAAATTCTTAAAAGTAAGTTTGACTGCAAGGTTTCTTTGTAGTGGTCAGGTTGGTTCCCGAAGTCCATCTATGATCAACAATGATTCTGAAACCTTAGAAGAATGTATGGTGTGTTCAGACATGAAGAGAGATACTCTGTTTGGCCCATGTGGACACATTGCCACGTGTTCTCTGTGCTCACCACGGGTGAAAAAATGCCTCATCTGTAAAGAACAAGTTCAGTCTAGGACAAAGGTAAAAACTTCCAAAGTTTATTGGTTTTCTTTCTCTTTTTAATAGAAAAGTAAAAAAAGAGGTCAAGGAAAAGTGTAGTGTATTTTAAGCGGTATTTGCCTTACAGGTGTCTCACTGGATGGAATTAATTTTGCTTCGTAATGATATCTTGTCCCAACATTGTATGTTACTCTTTTCTGTTTGCCTGTACCCATGTTACCTGCCCCTTTTTCTCTCCCACCTTGCAATGTCTTTATTGTTCAGGTCCTCAAAGTTCCTAATACGGTCACCTGAGGATGCTTTATTTAAATAGATTCCCTGTCCTGCTTCCCCCCCCCCCCCCTTTTTTTTTTTTTCCATGTTAAGATAAATTGCTGCTTTTCCTGAATTATAATTTCCTTCAGTAATATTCAGTTCTTCTGAGTTCTTTTATTCCTTAGGGCTGCTTGGAAAGATGATTTGCCCATAAACTGAGTTAGTTAATATGCTCTTGTTTTTGAAGTTAATAATTATTTTCAGCTTTCACCTTCTCTTTCTTTGGAATCATGAATTTCATATGTTTTCTCCTTCAGAGTATCAACCAGTTGTGCCCTATTTTGGGGACCAAATCCCAGTAGGTCCTCAGGTTTCTCAAATAGTTGCTCCCAAGAATTTGTGACTGTATGGGTGCATCCCCGTTGCTTTTCTGTTTGAGTATTCTTCTATTCCCCATAATCACAAAGTCTTGTCCTTCTTTTGCTTTTTGGCTGGTTTAAAAAAAAAAAAAAAAAACAAAAAACAAACGCCACAACAAAAACCTCACGTTCCACACACAGGTTTTCTGATCTGTAGAAAACCCACTCTATTCGTTTTATCTTTTTCCAAACACATCTGACTAGTCCGCTTCTGTGGTATGGTTTTTTTTCTCTATCTCAAAGTAAATACAGGAATTGTAAATATGAATTTGTAGTTTTTACTATTTACTCTCTTATTCTTCTTATACTGTTCACTGTTCTGCAATGCATATTTTCAAAGGCCAAATGTTAACATCGTGTAAGCTCCTTTTCTCTAGACTTTCTTTGTAGTCAGTGAAAAGGTTCTGCCACTGGGTCATTCAGAGCAGCAAAGTAAGGCTTCTACTTCCACTCATCCATCTAAAGAAGCTAATCTATGGAAATCAGCTTTCCCAGGTGAAAGCTAACCTTTGTGGATAACCTTCCTTTGGTTTCTTTTGCTAAATCAGATTGAGAGAGTGGAATATCTGTTCAATTCTTCTATTATACTCTTCTATATATAAACTGCCGGTAATATCTGCAAGGCTAAGAAATGAATGAACCTGGACAACAGTTCTGTGAACTGGAAGAGGTGGTCCAGGCCAGTATGAATGGAGTGGTATGTGGTGTCTATGGTCACACTATATATACAGTTCATCACATTAAAGGGCTTGAGAAACCCTAACCCAGAATATTAAAACAGATTACTATAAAAGTCTCTTATAAGTGAATTTCATATGATCATAGAATAGTTTGGGTTGAAAGGGACCTTTATAGTTAGGCATCTAGTCCAACCCCCCTGCAACGAGCTGGGACATCTTCAACTAGATGAGGTTGCTCAGAGCCCCGTCCAGCATGACCTTGAATGTTTCCAGGGATGGGGCATCCACCACCTCTCTGGGCAACCTGTGCCAGTGCTTCACCACCCTCAGCGTAAAAAAAAGTCTTCCTTATATCTAGTCCAAATATACCCTCTTTTAGTTTAAAACCATTCCCCCTTGTCCTATCTCAAGAGGCCCTACTAAAAAGTCTGTCCCCATCTTCCTCATAAGCCCCCTTTAAGTACTGAAAGGCCACAATAAGGTCTCCCCAGAGACTTCTCTTCTCCAGGCTGAACAACCCCAATTTAAGTATATATGGTGGAAAAAAGGAGAAAAGAATAAAGAACCAGAAACATATACTGTCTTAGCTGCTTCTCTGTGCTTAGAAGTCACTGCGATAACTCATTTAAGTTGCATTTTGAGGTGCTGAATTAGTTAAAATAACACTAGATGGAGTTTCTTAAATTCCATATGCCTTGCCACAGAGAGTGTAAAAGCAATTAATGTAGAGAGCAGGAGATAAACTTTTCTCATATGTGTGTTTATTGTTCTTTACAGATTGAAGAATGTGTAGTATGTTCAGACAAAAAGGCAGCAGTGCTTTTCCAGCCTTGTGGTCATATGTGTGCCTGTGAGAGTAAGTAAACTTGATGGAAGTTCTTTTAAAAGTAATCTTGAAACAGAACATTTTTAATCAGATTCCTAAAAGCTCATTAGTAATCTGACTTCAGGTCCAATTTACTTGATAGTCAGAATTTGGGCATTATTTGGTGTGCTGGTAATGAAATACTTGGAGAACAAACTGGAGATTTTCAAAAATTCAGAAAGCAAGTGCTCTTCCATCTAAATTATTTAATTGTGAGTAGGCTTGCTCAGATTATAGAAGCCTGCTGTATATTGTTAAAACTTCTGAAGTAATTAGAATTAATTTTATTGCTTTGTTGCAGCTTTTTAGGATCATTCAGATATGCAAATGGTGTTTTAAAAGAATATTGTAAATAAATATTAATTATGCTTCATTACTAATCTACAGACTTGCACGAGGGCTATATTTTTCCCTAAAAGACACATCATATATCTTTGCAAAGAGCACCAGTTATGATTCACTCTGATTTATCTCATGTAGCAAAAAAAGACATAGGAGATCTGCAGATTTTTGTTTTGAGAATATGTGGATGAGAACGCAGCCATCACTTTGTCACCAGACATTTCAGGGCTTTGTTGAAGGGTCATTTGCCTAGAGAAGAGCAGTCCCTGTTGCTGAGGATCTACGTAAGAGGGAAGGTAATCATTCCCATAAGTAACTGCTTACTTGCTCTCCCTAAAGAAGTCTGGTTTCTCGCTCTGTTCTGGCTGAGACACCTGACATTGAATCACTGACTTTACAGGTATCCTGATCTGGCCTCTTTCAGTCCGCAGTTGAAAGATGATGAGAGAAGTTTTTTTGATTAGTTTCCCAGGAAGAGCACAGCAAAAAGATTGATTGCTGTGGTGAAGGATTTCAGCAGTGCAATACACATCACCAAGTCTAAGCTGTAACAAGGACAGCAAAAGGTTTAACAGATGTAAATGATTTCTTTCCAGATTGTTTTCTGGACATCTTGTTCAAGCAGGATGAGAGAGTGTCTTCAAATTTGTGTAGTTTATAGGACCCACTCTATTAATTCACAGTAACCTTCAACATTTATGAGACATAATCGTTTGCCTTTTGTAGAAGAAGTACAGCCTCCTTTCTAGGATTATATCAAAAGATACAGGTTTACTCTTTTAAGGGTAAGGAGCCACACCTGTTTGCCCTTGGAGCCTTAGGACAAAGTGAGGAGATCCTTTGTTCTAAAGGAAAAAGCAGGTAGTCAAGACATTCTTGGAAGTTCTGGTCTCAAATGTGTGTGATTTTACTTTTTTAACTTCTGTAATTCTTGTGGAATAGACATCCATTTGGAGAAAGAGGAACCTGCTCGCATGAAGTATGTTAAAAGAAGATAAACAGAATAGGTTTACTTTGAATCCCAAACAAGACGTTGTTTATAGGTGTGATTTGCAGAAAATCATGTGAAGATGAACACAAGTAGTTATTTGTATTATAAGCATCTATTGTGACATTGCTATATAGTTACTGTGAATAAACAAGCTCATGGATAGGAAAGAAGAAAAATTAAATAGCAGGATTCAGAGTTGATTTATTTCTCTGTCCTCTCAGATTGTGCAAGCTTGATGAAGAAATGTGTACAGTGTCGGGCGGTGGTTGAGCGAAGAGTGCCTTTCATAATGTGCTGCGGAGGGAAAGGTACAGAAGATACCACTGATGATATTTGTGAGTGATTCCAAAACCCATACTCTTTCACATTTCCCCCACCAACTTCTTATTCTCGTTCTTTTAAATGACCTAAATCTTTCCTCTCCTTTTTAAAGAAAAGTTTAATAAAAACAGTGTTAAGCCAGGTATCCATTTGCTGTTTGCACTACTTTCTACATCGGTAGCAGCAGATGCGATGGTAACACCAGTCATTATACTAAAAGATTGCTTCCAGCATCCAGAGTAGAAGCTGAAACACACATGACTTCTTGGCCACTTATTAATGTCCTATGAAGCAGAAGATTGTCTGTAATTGTGCAAATGAGCAGATAAACGTTTTGTTTTATTTTTTACTTCTGGAACTCTCTGACTGATAAAGGAATGGTAAATATTTTGCATCTAGGTACGAGCAACTTTCATGACAGGTTGTTCAGATTTACATCTGCTTTGACTAGTTTTTAAACTTTTTGTGACTTCTCTGAATAATTTCTATGAATTATTTGTATTTACTCTGTATGTGTATGTATGGTATGCAGTGTTTGAATTGAGTTTATGTGAATTGGAATATTAGGTCATTCTTGTCATGCTGTTCCTAAATAGATAAATATAAGAATAAACCTTAAAATCAGGTTTTTAGTACTCACACTGGAAATTTCAAATTTGTCATTTGAAATACTTCTCAATTTTTCTGTTTCTTATAGTAACATTGCTTCCCGGATCAGTCAAAACAGGAATATTAATCTGAGCTTGTTCAAATTTTGAACAAACTACTTCCAAGATGCTTGTGCAGTTTTGAACACCAAATAGAATCAGCTGTGTAGATAAAAAGTCTTTTCAGTGTGAAAGGATTTGGCTTTATTTTTCACATATGCAAAAAATTTACTGCAGGAACTTCACTGGCAAATAAGAACTCTGAGAACATTAAGGGGCTGCAGGCATTTTGAGCATCATTATTGAGGGAGTATTTCTCAAAGAAGCGTTGCCAGTAAACTCAAAGAAGTCCTTTATGAATTTAGCTGCAGTGATGTTGTAGTGAATTTAATTAATTATCAAATATGTTTGACTAGCATTATTTCAGATAATGGAAAAATTGTAGTTAGTACACTGGAAATAATTATTCCTGTTTCATTAGATTGATGCATAATCACATATCTTTATTTTCTCTAAATTACAGCAAGTGGAAACATTCCAGTTTTGCAGAAAGACAAAGACAACACCAATGTTAATGCGGATGTACAGAAGCTGCAGCAACAGTTACAAGACATCAAGGAACAGGTAAAAGTGCTGATAAAAATTTTATGGACCACTAAAATAATTGAAAAAGCAAATGCATCTTCTGTTATTTAAAACAAAATGACATGTTGAAGTGCTTCTGCTATTAAATTTTAGTTAAATAACCAATATTTTTGTGTGTGTGATGTGGCTTGTATGTCTTCTATGTACAGGTTTAAAAAGAAAAAATAAAAAATCAAGTGTCTGTGTTTGATAATCCATCTGTTAGAGCATCTGTGTTGGTGTGACTAAAAAAAGATGCTCTGCCCAGTCAGTATGTTCTCTGCCTGTTTAGCTGACCTGAGAGTATAGGTACAGCAAGAAGCTGTTTTCACAGAACAGTAATAAAAGTAGATATTCTTCACTGTTCTGTATCTACCTGAATCTTTACTTGTCTGTTCATGAACTGCCTTTAAACAATGGCTGGCAGTTACCTGTTGTATGAAGGCTAGAGTTTATGTACTCTTGAAAAAATTGTGTGGTTGCAAAATTAAAACCTTTGAAAGTACTGTACATGTAATTTGAATATTTGGAATGTAAATGATAAGGTTTGTCTTTTGTAATTATGCATAGTGTTTGCAGGAGGAAATTTATACAAATTGACTATAGATCGTATTGGTTATTCATTGGTTAAATTACATGCAATTTAGAAACCTAATGAAAACCAAAAATTAATGTTTCAGGTAACTGACAGTTACCTATTTAAATTTGTTATGTCTGTAAGTCTAGTTCCATTAAAAGCGCTTAAGTAGTTGTCTACATGCAGAACTTTCCTGTGTTAGATTACTAAATTGCTTCCTTGCTTTTCCATCTGAACAAAGAAAAACTTGGTTTTGAGATTTTTTGGCAGTAAAGGGCCTGGGATATCTGACTATTGTATGAACTTACTCTCTTAAAACCCTGATAATGTGATTTTTGGCTTCCCTATGTATAACACAATTGGAAGAAACTTTTCATAGATACAGGAAACAGAGAAGCGTTCTCACCGTATTGCCTTTTGCTCTTGTGGGGGTAGAGCAGTCAGTAATACTTCAGTGATCACATCACATCTAGTCCTGGTAGTTGTTGCTCTCAGCTGTTCAAGTGCATGAAAGCTAAGACTGAAGTGTTTAGATTGCCGGTTTTAGGGCCCATATCTCTAAATGCCTTAAATTTGGGAGCTGATAAGCTGTCAAGTTTTAACCTCAGTGGCATGTCTGTGAAGAGCTGTTCCTGTCGTATGGAGACTTGGCCAACATCCCAGTAATAGAAATTCAAATATCCAATTCAGAACAGATTCCTTCGTAGTTTTTGTCTGTAAAAGAACATGCAGATTAAAAATTGTCATTTGAAAAATGCATGTCTGTCTTGATGATACCGTCTGGAGTTTCTAGGTATCTCTGGCATCTTACATCTACTGTTTAGCTTCTGTTTTACTTTTTAACATTGGATGAAAAGAATAAGGTTACTGCTTTGACAATTAAAATGATATATGCAAAACATGCAGATGAATGCTTAAATGCAAGTAATCGATTTTCTTCAGATGTATTTTTTTCTTTTCTAGTTACTTTATTTTAGGAGTTTATAAAAGATTGGAGTTCTATTTGGGTATGCTAATACTCATGTATAGGGACGTGAAAGGAAACCTACTTTGTTACAGTTTTTATTCTTGATTAGATGTGATCCTTAGGTGCTCTTTTATTCATATCAATTTTGTCTTACCTTTGGGATTTGCTAGCCAGAAGCTTTCTAGTATCAGAAAGTTATGCTGTATTAGGGAGAAGAGAATAATTATACGTGTCACTTTCGACTTGTATTTTCTGGTTTTCATATTTGCAGTAGTAAGAAAGAGCTAATACTGGAATGCTTTGAGAATTTAAGTGCACTCTTTTGCTTTGAAATGCCCCTTTGTCCAATAATTTATTTTAAATCAGTATAAAACTGAAGATTGTTCAATGCCTCTGACTAGAAAGAAGGAGGTGGTTCTGGTCGTTCTTGTGTGCATCTTGGCTTGAGAGTCTTTCAGGTTTTCCTTAGTGTTTTTTCTGGTTACACAACTTGCCCTGTCACAAGACTGTCATACTTGTGAGTAGCAAGTTGGATTTGATTAAAATTAGTCATCTCATCTTTTAAATTTGTGCTTGAAATGATGCACAGCATTCCACTATAATTGTGTATTCTTTTGATTTGTGCTTTAACAGTTCAGTCTTCATGTTACATTGATATTTTTGTACTTAAAATTAATTTGTTCTCTTTCAGCAGGTATATTCCTATGTTTCAACTCATACCTTCAATGATAATCTAATATGTTAGTGCAGCAAGCTTTTAAAACCATTTCTGGTGCCAAGCAGAAGGGATGCTGATGTCAACAGAATCTCCCACATCTGATGACCACACCATTCTTCAGGGATTCCCTGAATGTGAACCCTTTTGACTGTAATTGCAATACCTTCACTCCATTTCATACATAATCACCATCATCTGTCTAATATCTTATGTATGTTCCTTCACCATACTTACATCACTTTCTCCTTAAAAATAAATTTATTTTGTCACTGTGCACCTGTATATTGTTGGAAAAACTGTTTTTAGTAATGAGGAATTGATATTTCAAGCAGTTCAAAACACCTTGTTAGTGGTAAAAATTGATTTGGATTGCAAACCCAGTTATACTTAAGGTACAATGAGCACTTTTTCAGACTACTTTTACTTATCCAAAGAAGTAATTCTCACATAGAACAGGTGTAGTGCCTTTTTATACCATTTGCTTTCCTTTGAAAGACAGGAGTCAAATGTTTCATGCAGATAAAAAAAAGCAGAGTGTGGTTTCATGCATAGAACATTCTAACAAACTAATAGTACAATAGAAACAGATACTGCTTATTTCCTGCTGCTGTGGCACAAATTAGGTATAAGGCATGCAGTGAACTGTCTTGCACTGTAAAAGTACATATAAGCTGGTGGTTAAGTAATGAATGCTCCTTGAAAGTTGGATAAAACTCAGATCTTTGGGCTTGTATCCCACTGGGAAACTGCTGAACTACTCGAGAAAATCCTTGTCAGAATAGAATTGCGTAGCAAACAGGAAGTTTGGTTGTTCCTGCCAGCTGAATTCTACTGTTTGAAGTAACTTAAATGTTAAAATAGTATCATGTTAAGAAACTAAACAGCTGATGTATTTTAAATACTCTGCATTTGTACTAAACAGGAGAAATTGGGCAATTTGCTAATACTGCATGCAATTGCAGAAAAGATCCTAACATTTTCATTTTATAGATTTCTGTGCTTCGCTGAATGAAATAATCAAAAGTAATGGTGTTTGAACAGATTTTAATTTTTTTATTATTTCTGAGTCCCTTGATGGATGTTTTCATTTTCAAATGATGGTGTGGCATTTGGAGAGAAACAGACCCTTGTAACTTCAGTAATTCTGACATTATATTTAGGCACAAAAGCAAATAACTAAGCTAAAAACCTAGAATAAAGGCTACAAGTTTTTTCTCCAAAGATAAAATTCGGGTTTGCTTTGTCAGTCCTTTGTCAAAGGACATCATGTCAATACTCTCAGGTTATAGACACTTGTTACAGGACAGCTATATATTCATTGGAAATAGCTGTTTCATTGATATTTGAAGACTGTAGGTTACTGGAGGAAGAATGCTCTAATTGTCCCATTGGGATGTGAAGGTGATGACTTGGTGTGAATGGAAAAATGAGCAGGACTGACTGACAGACAGTTGGTCTTTTGCAAAGTTTTACTTTGAGTGTTTGGTTTTAGTACCATGGAAATTCTGACAAAGCTGGAGCACAGCATTTTTGGGAAGAGTGAAGGGTTTGGTTTTTTTAAACATAAATTGACATAAGGTTTTATCTGGAAGTTTTACATTCCTGCTAGCCCATTATACTGGTATGCTGGAGATTAAAATAGGCATTTGGCCAGATTCCATGCCAATTTAAACTCTGTATAAGCAGACTGATGGTCAATTTTTTTGGTCTTCAACTAAACTGTCTACCCTAGGAAGTAATACCTATTGATTCCATAGAAGGTATGCTTTAAGGTTATAGTGAATAGGGTTCCTGCTATGGATTCTCTCTCTCATGAGATGAACAAACTGAAGTAAACCCCCAATGATGAGTATGGAAACAAGTCACAGGTGCAAGGTGGTGATAAAATGAATTTGCATTTGAAATATGAGCCCTGTCAGTATTTCATATTATATGAGATCTGCATTTATGTTAGATATGAGTAGTGTGTCTCAGATCTGAGGACGTCTTAGATTTGATTTGTTGGACTATAGAATGGTCTTAACAATTATCATCTGTTATAACATCTATTCATTTACTAACCTTTGATAAACTGTTATAAATGAAGTCCTAATATGGCTGCAATATGTTTATGGTGAAGGAACATGCCTTACCAAAACTTCAATTTCTGCATGTGACAAAAGGTGAAGGACATTGTTCCTTAGTGGCTTGGTACAAGATGAACTTTGCTGTTGAAGAACTTTAGGAGATCTTTTTTGGGCATTGGCTGTCACTTTAATGTTCAGCAATTAAAACTGATTTTAAAAGTTTGCTGTGCTACTGTTATGACTGAAGGTCACAGATTTATTAACTTGTTCTTCATTTGAAACTTGAGGTGTTTTTAGTTGAAAATCTAGATAACTTCCATGAACAAAGGCTGGAACTACTAGTTTTGAATCTTTACATATAATATTGATTATGGAGCATTTTTATTACTTCTGCATGTGTTCAGTGCTTGGTGTTTAAAGGTAAGTATATGAATGGCTAGGTAGCCTGAGAAGAAATTGGTAAATCATTACCCAAGCATTGCACACACAAAGCTGTTTGTGTTGTTTGTTCCCTGGAAGATTACATGACATAAAGGGGAATGTTGCTGAAAAATGTCTTAATGTTGCAAACCTGGGTAATGATATTGAAAATGTGATGTCAACCTACTACTGGATTGTCTTACTTAAAGGGATCATATCTGGAAAACAGCTATATAGTTTTTGTGTCATGATGGGGTAGGAAAAGCCCAAATATTTTAAGTCAATGTGAAGTAAAAATGTGATTTAAAAAAAACCATTTAGTTTTCAGGTTAGTGGCTGGGTTATGCTATGGCAATGATCTGCTATGCTTAAGATGGCATATTTATTGTTAAATTTCAATAATTTATATATTGCATATTCAATACTGTATCACTACTGCTATTGACTATGTAATCTGTCAAAATCTTTTACAGACTATGTGTCCTGTCTGTTTGGACCGTCTGAAGAATATGATCTTTCTCTGTGGCCATGGAACGTGTCAACTTTGTGGAGACCGAATGAGTGAATGCCCTATATGCCGCAAGGCAATTGAACGAAGGATCCTTCTGTATTAAGTAGTGGAACCAGTGTCTTTTACTAGCTTATGAAATAGTAAGGACATTTTGATGATTTAAATCTCCGTAAGCTTGAAAGGCAGTAAAGGGTTCTAATGAAAACATTTCTAATACTGTAGCACAGGTTCATTACATGGTAATTGTTTAAAGACTGTGAACACACCAATTAAGAGAACAGTATTTGAACAGTCAGCTCTTAGCTTTACTCTTAAAAAACATCTAAGCCTGGAGCTAATTTAAAGCAGTCTCTTTTTCATTTCCTTTCTGTCTTCTTCCCCTTAAAGTTTAAAGGGACAATCTTATTTTGGTTTCATTCATGTTTTTTAATGTATGTATCGTGTCAAGTGATGTAAGGGGTGGGTTTTTTTATATTGTCAGTTAATATCAAATATAAATATTTAGGATTTTTTGTTTTATGCTTTTCTGGATAATGTTGAAATTTCCTGTGACAGTTGTGATTCACAATAATTTCTGTCTTGAAATATACAATAATGCAAAATCAATATAAAGTGTATACACAGTAGTAATACATATACAATTCCCATAAGATCAGGCCTCAAAATACAATGTTAAGGTAATTCTAACTTTATCATGCCCTTTGTTGCTGAGGATGGGTTGGGAAGGAAACAGTAAAAAGAAAAATCTAGTTTAGAAACACTGTGTTCCCAAAACTGCACTTTAGTCTAACGGGTTCAAGCTAACTTAAATAGTGAACTTCTTAATTCTGCTAGCCACATAATTTTGTATGGAATTGCATTTAACTTGACAGGAAAGGAAAACATTCACACAATGGGTCAGTTATCCATTTCAGATGAGTGAATTTGATCAGTTGTGGAGGAACATACATATATGTGGGGCCATTTAAAAATTCTGGGTCTATGAGTTAGGAGTAAGTAGGGATTTTGCAAGGTTTCCTCTCTTAAATTAGTTTTATTGTCTCCAGGCAAACAGTGTCAACAGCAAAAGAGAAGATTTAATATTGCTTATTCATCTAAGTTGGGTGTTAACACCAGAACTTATCTGTGAACATTACTGGGTAATACTGCAAATGAAGATACTGCTGACAGAACAGTGAATTTTGTGAGCCATGCCTAGGTGAGTTGAAGTTGGCTGAAGGAGTTAGCTGTCACTGATGCGACAAAGAGGTGTTCCTGACCCCAAAAATGCTACTGTCAGGAACTGCAAACTGTTAACTTTTTGATAATAAGTACATCCTTCCATCTTTTTGGATGGAAGAGTATGCTGATTCAAGGATCTCTTGTAGTTAAAAGGAACATGTGCTTACTCCTAAGTGATTTAGCAGTTTTCTGAGTGCATAGTTTATGTAGCCCTTTGCCATTGTGCAGGCTTCATTTGGATGTGCTCTTGCAGAACAAGAAATCCATGCTGGAGTCACTTAGGTGCCTTACTTGCAGCTAAGATTAATTTCTCATTTGATTCTCATTGCATAAGTCAAAAATGTGGAAAAAGGGATAGTTCAGGGGAAGATCCAAGTAAGGATAAAGGCATAAAATTGTGATCTCTTCAGATAAATCGATCTCAGTCTTTTGAAGCTTATGTTGATATGCCTGAATTGTGCAAACATTGGCAAAAGTCTCAGATGAATGTTACTGGTGAACTGTAAAGATAGGTGAACTTTTAAATAGTAAGGTTTAAACACTGAATAGAGTTTTCCAGGAAACAACTACAGTGATATATTGGAAAAATGTATGTAGAGTGGCTTTTAACATAGCAAAGTGATGTCATACGCAAGCCTTTCTATAGCCATCTTTAATCCTGATCCAGAATTGCAAATGTTCATCATTCTTTTCAGAAGTTTTTCATTGGACACAATCCCAATCTGGAGTTAATATAGTACTCTGGTTTATTTTGTATACTAGTAGTCATCTGTTCTCCAATAATCTGTGTATCTGTCATCTTGGCCAAGTGAAATAGCCCTCCCTTTTCCTGCTTTTTGGGTCCCTATTCTGAAATATCAAAATTTCAAGGAGCTTTGGAAAGTTTTTGATATAAGGCTTTTTTTCAGCTCAGCATTTCACTATCTCCACTTAAGATCTGAGTGTTCACTGCAATTTTCATTTGGCCAATATGCATGTCACCAAGTCTGATTTTTTTTTTTGTAGCATGTTTGACTTTCTGTAGTAGGCTTCAGTTTCCTGTCAGTCTTCTTCTAAAAATAATTTTATAATTGTGCTGTTTGACAATCCATTCTGAGTTTTAGCCTGTAATGCATCAGATCTGTACCTTGGTTTCCTCTGGCTCTGGTAGACATATTTTGAATATTGTGTCGTATTTATTCTTCAAGGGGACCTCTGTAAACTGTTATCAGCACAAAGGCAGGGTGGATTTCTTCTTGATAATGCAGCTCAAAACTGAAACCTCAATATAGCAGTTGGCATTTTCCTAATTCTTTTTCACTGGAACAAGCCAGAATTACTTGAAAGTATTCCGACTTAGTATCGATTGAATAATTCAGCTGAGTAAAAACTGATTTAATGCATCCTGGGTGGGAAACTGGAGTTGAATGTTAAATACTCCTTGTCTGCAGGGGCACATATTGTAGCATAGATATGCAAGTGCTCTGTTAGGCTTGTACTTTTCAACAGAGAAGCTGTAAGTTACGTTATAACACTTAATAGTTGGATGCCATCGCAGTCCTATGGAAATAGAGACAATGGCTGAAGGTATTGCTATGGGAGCAGCTGTAGTCTTCTATACTGTAGTCACACCAGATGTATGTGACTGCATACAAGTTTGTATGTATGTATTGTACTCATTCGGCAATGTTGTGTGCCAGCTGAAATTAAAGTATGTCAACTTGGTGCCACGAGAAACAGCTGAATTAGAAAAACTAGGTAAGCTAACCAACATGCTTGAATTATTAATATAGGCCTCTTATTAACAGGTGAAAGAGCTGTATCTTTTATTGGGAAAGCTACACAGTGCTTGCCTTTCAAAAAACTTAATGAGGAAAAATGTTTGCAAATCCAATATCATTTATGGAAATAGATATTTAGATTCACACACTATCTTTGGATTCTGATATAGAAGGTGAACTAGTGTTGTTGAAGAAGCTAGTAAGTTCATTCACTCAGTTTAGTCTGGTATCATCTGTGCAATGTGCACAGAGTGCAAATGTTTAATTGGATAACACTTAAATAATCAAAAGATGAAAAACAGAAGCTCAGTTGGAAGCCAAAGGTGATCATAACAAGTAGGAGAGTTGAGTATATGTCATTGTGCCTCTGTCTTCAGCAAAAATGAAAGTGTAAATCTGAATATTATTATTATTATTATCATTATCGTCACTATTATTAGGGAGCAAAGTGAAAATGAGAGAAAAATAAGTAAGGCATTTATCTCTAATGTACTGTAAAATCATAAAATGTAAGAATTGAAAGCTTTGTTTATGATTATCCCCCAGTATTTAATAGCCGTTTTGAAACTAAATTGAATGAAATATCTCAGTTTGTTTCTTGAAACAATCAAGGCACCTAATAATATATATTGTTCAGGTGTGAGGTATGCTCAGATGTTTAAATAAAATACTTTTCATTTTTTTCCATTTAGTAAAATACATAAACGGTCACATCAGTACACAGTGATTTAAAGTATAAAGACAACCTAAGAGGCTAACAGAATATGCTAAATAGTTGTAGCTTGTTAACTTCTGTATAACTATGTTTGACTTTTTTCCCCCCAGACCTACTGTCTATCACTTACTATACCCCAAGCTCATATGGCACTTCTCAGAATTTGGGCTATTATTACCTACTTTCCATTTGTTGAAATACTGTGTACTTGTATGTTGGGGTTTGGAGGAATCCCTTTTTACTGAAAATTACACTGGCAGGAGAATAAACAAGTTACTTTGTAAATGTGAAAGTTTGATTAGGAGGTGGTGTTCTTAACTTGGACTGGGTGAGGATATAGCAGATTTGCACAAGTACTTGTGCCTTGTTAGCATAGTCTTACCATCGGTATTTTAGCTTCTTTTAAAGACGTGCAATGGTCTTTTAAAAATAATCTGGTTTAAGTACTATTTGTGTAGATATTTTCTAGAGATCAAGTTTTATGTATGCCTAATTATTTTTAGCAGTATTCATTGTAGTTTGTGTAAACACTAAATTGTTCGAAGAAGCTGCTTTCAGCTAGTGATCTAAGCTTCCTCTACAAAATTAAATGTCAGAAACTTAATTTTACTCTTCCAGTAGCAGCTGGTGAACCGAAGGGCCTATCTTGTTCTTTGTGCTGCATGGGTCAAGTTTTCACTTAAAAAAACCCGACAACACTACAGCCTAACTTTTAGCAGTGCTACCTCCTTTCTGTCAAAGTACTGAATTCTTCTCTAGTTGTTCTTTGTCTTTGGGAAGGGATGGGGAACACATCAGTTTTGTTTTGCTTCATCAGTTTTGATGTCTGAATACATTGCAAAGGTTTTTTACTGACTGTATAAATGACGTACAATACAAGTGTGTGATTTGCCACAATGTACATTGTATATCATTCTTGCACAAGTTGCTGGAATTTGTACTGTTGTCTCTTTATGCATTTCATAACTTGTTTGTGTTGACAAAGCAAAACTGTTATCCGCAGAAGTTTTGGTATGTGCCATGTCTATAGCTAAGCCTGTGGTAAATACGAAAGTTCTGACTCAGGGCTTTTTAACAACTTAAACACGTTCACAATATTCTTCAGCACATCTTGGAGAATACTAGAGATTTAATGACTGTACAGTGCCTTGATAGAACTATTGAATGGGCGGCAGCCATAGAGTCCTTACGGAATGCAAGTATCTTTTAAATCCAGTTAATGAGTTGATGTTAATATAATTGTAATACCCCTGCCATGGATTTATAAACTCGTATATACTTTCTGTAAAGGAAAATCAGCAAATTTAGGTATTGTTAAGCTTTCTGAAAGTTGTTTGATTGTTACGCCAGTCATGGGGGTCTGAAGGGCATAGTATTCAAATTTACAGAAGCAGCGTTTGTGGCAAAGAGAGCTGATAAAATGTTCTGTATGTGACATTTCAGCGTGAGGGGAGAGGTCATTGTATAAACAAACATGTAAAAATACCTGCTTTACTCTGGCCCAGTAAGTCTTTTATAAGAGAGGGAGAGAAATAATCGGCAACAAATCTGTATGTTTGCATGCCATTTCATAGTTACAAAAATTTAAGTCTCATTTTGAGCTTCTAGGAAATCCTTTTTGTCCCAAGCTTAGTGTCTTAGTGAATGCAAACTACACATATTAGAAAACAGGTTTTGCTGAACCACAGGAACATTTTTGCTTTTGTTAAAACCAACTTTGTATTTTCAGTAAATTGTAGATTTTGACATGACTGTTTATTGGAGAAGTTTAAGGTTGTCTGTGTGAATGTGGTGGATTTCTGTATGCAGACAGCATTGTATAATTGCTTGCATTAAAACTGCTCAGCAAGGTCTAAGCTTTTCAAAGGAAATGCTAATGTACTGTATGGTTAATAAAACTTATCTAATAAGATGTATCCTGACTTTTTAAAAAGCTTTGATTTAAAAGTGTAATTGGACTGAATTAATGCTGATTTTTGTGTACACATCATGGGGAAGGGAGCAGTGGCTCATTTGACTTCCTCCTTCTTAGTTGTAACAATGTTAGATGTCACCACGGAATTAGAAAATTGTATACCTGAACAAATGTTTGGTAACTCTGTTAGTTGTTGACATATAATGTTTAAAAGTGCACCAGACTTTATTTATTGAGGAAGTTTGCAATCCAAACTTCAAAAAATTCTGGTTCTTTATAACGTATCCCTGAAGACTGAGTTTGTAGCGACATCAGAAATACTACGTGCCTTTGAATCTCCCAGATATTCAAATATTGTTTAAGCAGGACAGTAGAAGTATGAAGGGTGGATTATGTTGTAACAACAAAAAGGTTGATTTTAAAATTTTTATCTATGGCATATGTGCAAATTTTTCTTTAAATATGCAGTTCCATAATACTGATTAGAGCTGCTGTTAAGTTTATGTTAGACTCTGGGTTTACTTAGAATTGAACGGCCTTTGCAGATCTGGTTACATGAATGTGATGACTTAAAAATCTCCTGCCAGATACAGTAACTCCCATATTCTGAGACAACAGTTGCTGCATCATAGTTTATACTTTTAGGATTCAATTTAATGAATGCATTCAAAAATACATATAAATGTAATGAAAGGCAACAAAAACAACCAGACTTTAATGGCTTAGTGTTTTAATTTATCATAGTGTACAGGTGAAAAATTGACAGAATAAAAAGTTTGTTGCTCTCTTTCTCAGTTTCTTTTCTTTTTTCAGGATTTCTTCAACTTTGGTTTATATGACAGGTCTATATGAAAACATAATATTTTCAGATATCTTTTCTTTAACTTTTTATTTGAAAACAATTGATGCAAATTGTCAAAATAATTTTTAAATAGCCTTATTCTATTTACAAAGAACAAGCAAAGGCTTGTTCTTTGCTTTGGGACTTACAAGCCGTTCACGTACTTCTCCATACCTGTTCATTGAAAGTGATGGGAACGGCGTTGGCATAGGTTTGAGACTTGGTCTCTGTGGTCTCTAGGGTTTCAGCCCCTAATGTAGGTCACAGTGGAAGCTGTTGTCTTTGCTCGTGTTTTAGATTTTTGAGAAGGCTGCTTCATACTGTACAATATAATTCATATAATACTTTATAATATAAATACTGTATAATATAATTTCTGTATAACGCACCTTGCTGTTCTAACTAATTCCAGCTTATCCAATATGCAGCCAGCTGTTGCGACAGGGATGATGAAACTCCATAGAGATTTCCTTTGGATTTGACATTTAGTTAAATGCAGAGGGTGGTTCTTCATGGGTGTACTCTGTTTTATTCAGGGAAGAAAAATTAGCAGCAGTATTTGAATGAAAAGTGATAGCCTTCCTTTTCAGACTTGGTTTTCCACAATACGGAAAGGTAATTTCAGTTAGTCAGAAACAGTATCGTTGAAGATCCTGTTCTTGTGCTTTGTGCAGCCCTGTTCAAATCAACAAAGTAGCATGCATTGGAAAGCTTTTACTTTAAAGAATAAAGCCTATCAACTGTTCTTGATGCTTATGAAAAGGTTTTGGCTGAAAATTACTTTAGGGATTCAAATACTTTGTTCCCTTTGCAGTAATGAGAGTGGTATGTCCAAGCTCTCCGGGAGATACAAAGTTGGTTGGTTTTTTTTCAAAAGCAATCTTTAGAGAGTGATGCTATGATGGATTGAAATAGTTTAAATTACATTAGAAATCAAGAACTGTGAGAGCTGATAATGTATACATTTTATTCTGTAACAATGCAAGACTTCAAGTTATAGGAAGTCTAGTGCAAAATCTATTTCTTACAGTTAGAATTTGTTGGGGCTTACTTGACTGCCCTGAAGAAGTTAATACAAAACTTAATTTCTGCAAAATTGCCTAAAATCAGGAAAATACACTTGTGAGACTAAACTGACCCCTTGCAACACTGTAACACCATTTCACTGAATTTTCCTTACAAATAAATCTGAGGGAGGTAAGTAGACAAATCTGAGCTGATTTCCCCAGTGATGCTTGTGCATCCTAAAATGTATGAGTATTTCTTCCACAAGGGGTCAGTAGCACCTTCCATTTGTGACAAGTTTTTTGTAATATAAGCACAAAGCAAACAAGGGATAAGGTTAATGATGATTGCATTAATATGTGGGTGGACCAGACCTCACTTGTCCCCTTCTTCAAGCAGGCTAAGTATAATTAGCTTATTTGCTGACTTCAGTAAGCACCATATTCTATCCTCTGACTCTCATGTGACATGAACATTGCTACTATTGATTAGGGCAAAGTTCCAGTGGAGTGTTTACCTTTAGCTCTAGTTGAAAGTATTCATTTAGTCTAGCTTTTTTTTCAAAAGCATGCAGTTGGAGCAGATAAACTATATGAGAGAGCTTGTCCAGCAGGCAAGGGAAAAGGGTTCTTGTATGAGTGTCCCACATATTCTTAATGATAACCACAGTCTCCGTAGACGGCTAGAGCTGATTAATATTTTCCACCCTATAGTAACACAGCTTATAGTTAAATATGCTTTGAACCCTATCAGTCTGCTCAGTGGAAGGAATGTCCAGCTTCTCAAGGCTTCCCTGAGTATGCAAGTTACTTGGAGACAGAAGTTTGAAGTAACTCATTATCTTTCTACCAAGAGGCTGAACAGATCAGACAGTTATTCCCTAGACAAAAGTTTCCAACCGTTGTACCGAAGTCATATTTCACAGATAGGAATCCAAGTATGGTCAGTGTCATTCAGGTTGGCACAGGTTCTTACTTATGCTTGCTGAATTAACAAGGGACCTTCCTTACCTTCATGTTTGCAACTCTTGTCATTCTCTGCTTCGCATCTGTTACGGTTTTCATGTTTCATGGACAGAAGCACTGAAGACCTCACTATTCAAGTCCTCCATTTCAATTCTATGTATGTTTTTTTGACAGCAGAACTGTGTGTCCCTTCTTTCTCAATATGTCCTTTCTCAATGTGGTGCTTTACTTGTCTCATTAACCTCCATTACACTGAAGTTGGCACAGTGCCTTCGCATAAGCAGAGTGGGGCCCTATCCTTGTGTCTGACTCCACTCTTAATTGCATATACCGACAGGAGGAATTCCTGAAGTCAGTCTTAGCAAAATTTCACATTAATTTATCAACAAACCTTACTTCTCTATATTGGCAGTGTAAGAAATTTTGTGGCTACCACCTAGGTGGTAATGGTAGGATAGAGGTGCTTCTTTTGGTCTAGTTACAACTGTTCTTGACCATATGAGGAAAATCAGGAACAAGTAAATGTTTCAAGGTGGTTTGTTTTGGTTTATTTTTGTTTTTTCCATAGGCTGCCTGAAATTTCCATTGTTACCATATCTCAGATTCAGTTTTTGGTGAAAAGGTACTTGCCAGAGAAACTTGCTCTGGATGGAAGTTACTGTCTCCTAGTCGTGTGTATCTTGCCCACTTAAGTTGGAGGAAGTCTGTTCATTTCCGTAGGATTGCTCACAAGAGCATGGGTTGTTTACAAAAAGAAAGCTTCTGTTGTTGGGCTTCTTGCTGCCTCCATAGAGAAGTATGAAAAAGTTCTGCCTCTTTGAATCAAGTAAATCCGAAACCTTATTCCCAGTAATACTCTTCCTACTAAGATTTCATAATCCCTACTGTTTATATGATCATAAGGTGTCTTGTAATATTCTGTATGAAAGCTATATAAAATAAATAGCAATTATACAACATTTATTTCCCAATGAGCATGTTATATAGTTTGCTGGCTTTGAAATACAATGCTATCATTCTTCCTCTCTTCCTTCTTTGCAATGAGACCTGTAAAATAAAGACTAGTTCAGATCTATGTAGACAAGGCTGCTTTTCCTAACACAAAGGACTGAGTTAAGCTGTTTCTAATATAGCCTTACAATTGAAAGCATCAAGCCCAAGGTTTTTGACTGTATTTGTCTGATATATAGCATAGGACACGGGAAGTACCTAATTCATATTATTCTTGAGTTTCGGTCAGGTCATTCTGATTCTGTTTAAGGCTGAGGGAGTCTTCATGTAACTTGTCCTCTGAAACTATTCTCCTACTACTTCATTTGGAAGGCATAGAGACTAGAAACACTTCATGCCTTCTTGTTGGGATAGAAAAGTGTGTTAGAGTAAGGACGTGGAGAAACCTAAAACTAAACCGCATTCATAGGCTTAATTCTTAGGAATTTTGTGAGGAAACTCAGATGGCAAATTTGTGAGCAGAGTCGTCTCCTGAAGTTGAAGAGTTTTAAATTCTTCTGTTCTCTCTCCTGAGAGCTTGTGTCATGGATACATTGAGTCCTGCTGTAGCCTTGCCATCTCCTTTGTCTTGCATGTCACAAGATAGGTCCCTCCACACCAACTCTCCCTGGAGTAATATGTACTAGAGTTAAACTGGAACTATTCCACATGTGGAGAAGGAAGGTGTGGGAGTTATAAGTCCCTGATGCAGAAGTTATGGATCTGCTGTTCTACCTAGTACAACTCTGTTCCCATGACACACACAAAAGGATGTGAAGGAGTAAGTGATCTTGACTTGGATTTACTGTGAACTGTGTGTGCCTGCAAACAGGCAGCGGTGTAAAAAAAGCTACTGCAGATCAACCGCTCAGTAATTAGCTGTGTGAGGTGCTTGCCCTGCAGCAGGCAGTAGTTGGAGGCCACTTAGATTTTTAAAGTGTTGCAGCCAAGTAGGGTTGAGTGGGCCAAGCCCTCTGGGCATCTACTTACCCATGAAGCAATGTCAGCTCGGGACAAGTAGCATGGAAATGAATTAGATGTGAAAAGCATATCTTCATTAACAAGATTGGGATACCAGACATTTAATTTTAGGCTTTATTTGCTATGCTGATTCAAATGGTGACACCAAGATTTGGCAAGCTGTTGTTGAGCACTCCAGGAAAAGTTACTCACTGGCTGATTTCATAGTTTTGCTTTT